GAGGTGGCAGCAATGATGTGGTGGGAAGGACGAGGCAGCAGTGGTGCAAAAGGGAGGAGTTGGAGTGAGAGACGGAGAGAGAGAGAGAGGGAGAGGAGGTAATGGTGATGGTAGTGGTGGTGGTGGTGAAGAAAAAGAAAAAAGGAAAGATAGTTTATAGCTGTCAGGATTACAAAAAAAACATCTTGATACGGACAGCAATATGCTTTTTGTTCAGTGTATGTGGCTTGGTACCAGTTTTCTTATGACTCCGTAAATCTGATACAGTAAGGTTACAGGATGGTAAGCCTAATTTCAGGCTGAACTGGCTGAATCACTCAGAACATGTACTATCTGCTTTCAGACTGGTAAATGTGCATGCCAACCATTATAGTTGATGTTTGATCCATGATTCTGTGTAGCACACAATGGTGAAAATAATTAAGATGTGGTAAGAAAATCCCATATATGTGAACCTGTTATTGCTTTCCATGTTAATATAAATAGATGAATTACAATTAGGTAAATCAACATCAGTATTATTAACAGTGTTGCTTAGGTACACATTGTCATGCAGCCATCCTTTCCCTTGAATAAGAAAATGAAAAAAGTTATAAACAGGTGAGATATGAAGGCACACATTTAATTGTTATAATCATGAAAAGCCATTTGTTATTTTTTTCTCCAAACCCTACAGATTTTTTGAAATGACAAAGGATCATAAACTAAAGAACATTTTCACATACTTGATAATGTGTCCCAAATTGTACTCAAATGGAGAGATGAAACGACATAGAAGTAAATGAAGACAATTTAACACTAGGGTTCCCGTAGTTCAATAGTTTGATCAACCTAATAAACGCAGGGCTCCTATAACCTTGGTTTTCATGTGTTGACTCTTTTTCAACATTATTAGGAGTTAATGTTGTTTTTTCATGGATAAAGATTTTGAATGATGTTGTGACATCTTCATATTTAGTTTTCCCTGCAAGTTGATAGGAAGTACTTGTAGCCAATCATGTCCATGATCATTAAATTGCTGCATCTTATTTGTCATTTATGAATTCTGATACAAAATTGTTTACCTTAATGTGTCATAACAGGTGTATGTAAACAGAAAGAAATTATGTTCTAGGTGGTACAATCATGTGAATGTGTTTTTTACTGAATCTACCTTCTTGCTGAATCCTTTTCACCTAGTTAAAAAAGAGGATCAGATAACATCTGAACAAATCCAGATTTAAGTTCGGATAGAACTGGGTACCCATATTCGGATTCAGAGTCAATATGGATTTATATATTCCGATTACACATTTGGGTTTTCTTTTACAATCTGGATCCTTGTTTGGGCATTTAGACAAATTCTGGGTTTGGATTGGGATATCTGGATGGTTTCCTTTAGTGTCAATCCATCACAATGGCACTCCAGAAAGATAATACTAGTCTGAGCAATGGAGATTTAGCTATTCAAATTACATTTGATGTGGTAGACCAATTGTTACTTGCATCCTTTTGACTTTTATTTGGATATATATGCAGATCTCAGCATGTCCTTCAGTAATGTGCCAATATCTTGACCTCCTATGCATATTAATCATAACCAAATTCTGTCACTGAATATCCTTGTATGTATCAGTTTCAAAATGACTTGTATCTGTATCCATCTAAAATCTGATTTGTAAATGTATTTTTGTCTAACCACCCTATCTGTATTCATCATACATCCACCTATTATGAGGTTCAAGCTTGTCTCCATATTGAACAGACATGGATTCAAATTTTAGTGTCCTCCTATTTGTAGACTTATTCCTTTTCACTGATTAAAAGCAAATACAGATTGCCTAGTTTAAATAATATTCAGTTTTTTTCAACCCTAAATTCACTGATTTTTAATTTGAGGCATGCAAGTACATTGCTGCTACTCTAAATTTAAGCACAGAGTTTTAGGGTGTTTGCTGTGGATCACCTAAACCATTTGGATTTGCTCTTTAAGAGAGAATTTTTCTAAGCAAGATGGCGACTCTTCTCTCCAAGTTGATGTCGCCATTGCTATCCCTTGAGTCTTGAATTTCTTCATTCTATAAGTGTGGTTTATCTTCTATTTTACAGGTTACTGAGTTTTGAGGACTGGTTCAATTTTCTGTACCAAAATTAATTTTTGTCCACTTGAGAAAGTTTGATATCTTTGTAAGAGAATTCTGGAAAAATTTAGTTTGAAATTGTACATCTTAGTGATTGGCATGAAGTTAATTGCACTGCTTTAAAGGATTTGGCCTCCATCATTCCATATAGCTGGTAGGTACCTACAGCATCCTCTGGCTGTCAGAAGAATAAAGAAAATGCATGTAAGTTTTGTGTTTAACATTATTCCATGCCTCCATAGCTAGTAGGTTGCCTGCAAGGACATCAGGGAGTTAAATTATATCTGACAGTTGATTTTGAATGCTCAAGATAATGTTTAAATATGAGTGAAGAACTTGTCTACTGATAATACACAAGAATTAACCTTATCTTTTGAATCATAATAAGAAGTGCATGTATGGCAATGTCTAGGAAGACAGATTGAGATATCTGATCTGTGATTTAAAACCTTTCTTTTAAAATTGAAACCAGTTGCTAAACCTTAAGAAGTTTTACTACCGATAGTTGATATTCCTTGATTTATAAATTCAGAAGTCAACATTGTTGTCATCAAATGTCAACTAAGGTATATGGTCCTCATTATTCTTGTTGTGCATAATGAAAAGGTAGATAATTCTTTGTATCAGATTCTACTGGATTAAGCAATATTCTGTATGTAATCTCTGGTGCATTAAATGTTGGTCTGGCAGTTAATTTATCTAAGCTAAACTTTGGATAGAAGTTGACTTCCCTCGGTACAAGTTAATTAATCATCTTTTTTGGCACCTGATGATGGTGTGTATGGTATTATTGGCGCATCTGAACTTAGTAGATTGTTTAACTGCAGTGACTTATTGTCCATCTGATATCAATTTATGTTAATTTGCTAGCTATCCTTATCCTATTAGATTTCCTCTCTACAGGTATTGCATTATAAATTGCATAATGATCCTTGGAGGCAAGATTTAGCCCAAACCAAGAAGGATTTCGGATTGCCAAATTTTTGCTTCAAAAGAACTCAATAAAGCAGTAATAAGAACAATCCACAACAATTTTTGTCGAGATAACCAAAAGAGCAGGATGGAAAGGAAGTTGTATTTGTAATTTTGCTCTTCTTGCCACCATAGTGATGTACAAATGGAAACTTTGGATCCACAAGAATTAAACCTTATCTTTTGAATCTTAATAAGAAGTGCATGTACTTCAATGTCTAGAAAGTGTTATTGAGATATCTGGTTTGTGATTTAAAACTTTTCTTTTAAAATTGAAACCAATTGTTAAAGTTTAAGAAGTTTGGCTACTGATAGTTGATATTCCTTAATTTAGAAATTCAGAAGTCAACATTGTTGTCATCAAATATCACACATAGTATATGGTCCTCATCATTCTTCTTGTGCCTAATAAAAAGGTAGATAATTCTTTGTATCAGATTCTACTTCCAGTCATACGGTGGGCTAGAGTAAGCAATATTCTGATTATGTAACCTCAGGTGCATTAACTATTGGTTTGGGCAGTTAATGTATCTTAAGCTAAACTTTGGCAAGAAGTTGACTTCCATTGGAACAAGTTAATTAATCATCTTTTTTGGTACCCGATGATGGTGTGTATCTGAACTTAGTAGAATGTTTAACTGCAATGACTTATTGTGCATCTGATTTCAATTTATGTTAATTTGCCAGCTATCCTGATCCTATTAGATTTCCTCTCTACAGGAATTGCATTATAAATTGCTTAATGATCCTTGGACGCAAGATTTAGCCCCAGCCAAGGAGGATTTTGGATTGCTAAATTTTTGCTTCAAAAGAACCTACTAAAGCAGTAATAACGAACAATCCACAACAATTTTTTGTTGCCACAACCAAAAGAGCAGGACAGGAAGGAAGCTGTATTTGTAATTTTGCTTTCCTTGCTGCAATAGTGATGTACAAATGAAAACTTGAGAAGATGGCACTCCAAATTCATTTTGTTATGTATAGAGAATATAGATAACTTTTTCACTTGTAGCTTATGTCAGTTTATTCGATAAAGGTATGTTCTGCTTAATTCCTTGAGGAGGCATAAACATTTTTTTGTTACAGGAAATTGATTTTGCACCCATTGGGAAATTGGTTCATTCAATAATCTGTCTAATGAGTATTATATTATTCTTGAAGATTGCAAAAGGCTTCGCTGGCATCTAACCAGAACAGCGAATGAGGTTAGTGTTATTGTGTTTTTTAAGTTCTGTTATATAGTTTTATTACCGAAAGAAAAGCGCTGATATGCCGCAATACTTTTGGTCTCACTACGGCTTTTCTACAAAACCAAATGTTCTTATCATTGTCCTAGTTGTAGCTCCTTTTTTTCTTTTATCTTCTTTATTTTAATGCGGTTTGTTCTTCTAGTTTTGAATCAATAGGCTTGTGACTCATGACTCTTAACGTCTTTTATGTATATTTGGAGCAGTTTCAACTTGTTTGATCCAAGTCCAATCTTAAATATATTTGATCCAACTCCATTCTTTTTGCACTGAAACAAGGACTTGCTATCACCTTGTATATATGTAGCTCTTGCGTCAGCCATATACAGTACTCTTTTAAGTTATTGTTTGTGATTCCTTTTTTTTTTGTTGATGACAGTCTCTTTCTAAGACCACTTGAGTGAGGGCTTTCTTTATTTATTATTTTCGCTTTTATTTTTGCGTGATGATATGGAAGGAAGATAATGGCTTTGTATTTAGAATTCCGTGTATCAATCACAGCTACTTGGTTTTGTGATTTCGTGGTCTATAATGAAAAATCACTGTTGCCTTTTGATTGAGAAAAGTATCATATAATTTAAATATCATGTATGAAAAAATTTTAACTCTTTGAATATATATATATATATATATATATATATATATATATATATATAAGGCTGAGCTGCATCAGAACGTTGCTCACGGGGAATGGTTCTTCACCCGCTTGAAGCTGGCCAAATCCAAGCCCACCTCACCAAGTCCCACAGACGCAACCTCCTGAACTCCCTCCTCCGCTCCCTCTCCCTGTCCCACGCCCCCGAGAAAGCCCTCCATGTCTTCCGCCATATTCTCCACCTCTCACCTCCCTCCTCCTCGGATCACTTCGCCTACACCTTCCTCCTCCGCGCTGCCTCCCTTCTCCATCCCGACCACGGCCTCCAACTCCACGCCCGTCTCCTCAACTCCGGCCTCCACGCCGACCTCTTCGTCCAGAACTCCCTCATCGGCTTCTACACCTCCGCCGCCGACGTCGACTCCGTCCGCCGCGTCTTCGCCGGCATCGCCCGCCCCGATGTAGTCTGCTGGACTTCGTTTGTGTCGGCGCTGGCGAGGTGCGGGCGCGAGGATGAGGCCCTCGCGGCCTTCCGCTCCATGGACGTTCCCCCGAACGCCTTGACCCTTGTGAGCCTGCTTCCCGCTTGCGCTCGTCTCGGTGCTCTCCTCCCCGGGAAGGCTGTTCACGGGTTTGGCCTTAAAAGCTGCGGTGGCCATGGCTGCAACGTCATATTGGATAACGCGATTTTGGATCTGTACATGAGCTGCAGGGATTTGGTCAGTGCCCGCAATTTGTTTGGCGAAATGCCGAGTAAGGACGTCGTCTCATGGACGACTCTGATCTCTGGTTATGCGGCCAACGGAATCCCTGAAGAAGCCATATCAGCCTTCCACGTGATGCTACGGCATGGTCAGGTCGAGCCGAATGAGGCGACCATGGCCTGCGTGCTGCGCGCCTGTGCTTCTCTTGGAGCGTTGAGCACTGGCAAGTGGATCCATTCCTACCTGCTCAAGAGTCACATCGGTGTTTGCGGTCTCCCCGGTAATGCTTTGATCAATATGTACGCGAAGTGTGGAGTGATAGTCATGGCTTGGAGAGCTTTCAGTGGGCTTGCTTGCAGAGATCTGGTGTCTTGGTGCACGATGATGGGAGGTCTGGCAATGACCAGTCGGTCAGATCTTGCACTCCAGCTGTTTGCTTCTATGATTTGTCATGGGCTGAGGCCGGACGGTGTGGCGTTCCTTGCATTACTATCAGCGTGCTGCCATGCAGGATTGCTCGACCAAGGTCTGATGATATTTAAGGCCATGAGCAAGGTTTATGGAGTTGTTCCCAAGAAGGAACACTACACCTGTATGATGGATGCCTTCTCACGGGCTGGGCGCCTAAAGGAAGCGGAAGGGATCCTTTGCAGCATGCCGGTTGAGCCTGACAAGCATGTGTGGGGAGTCTTGCTGAGTGCTTGCAAGACGCATGGATTACAGCAAGCAGAGTGGGAGCACCTTGGTGGCAAGGCCCTCGGAGGTTACTTGGATTTTGGAGGAGGGACTTATGCATTGGTGTCGAACATTTTGGCTGATGCTGGCAGATGGGAAGTCTCTAATCATGTGAGGGATCTGATGAGAGTGAGAAAGGTAGAGAAGACAGTTGGGTGTAGTAGGATTGAGGGTCGTTGACGTTCTGTTAATGTCAGGGCTACCTGTTATGAGCTCCAGAAGATGGTTGGGTGCAGGATCGTTGTTAGGTCCCAGTAGTTGAAGCTAGGCATGATACTGATTCCGAAAATATATATATATAATTTTCTTACAAAATTTTGATAAAAAAAAAATCCCACTTTGAAATTGGGTGTACTTCTAATTGAATATCTAACATAAGACAAGATCGAACGAGAACCGATGGTTCCAGTTTTAGATCCCGTTCTAAGCAGTTGGAACAAAAACTGAACTGCCCAAGTCAGGTTTCAATTTGATTTCAGTTTCAACATTCCTGTTCGACCTACTTGGAGCAATTGAACAAAAGTCATGTCAACCGAGGTAGCTATTATTACAAGTTATAATACTGGAGCGATCATAAACTTAAAATCCTTCATCCGCTTAAGAATCCGATCATAAACTTATATCATTCATCCGCTTAGAGGCTTCTGCCTCTTAACATACTATGAATCACAAGTTTCTATTGCATGTCTACATTTTCTGATCTCGTCATGGTGGTAATGCTGCTCTCTCTCTCTCTCTCTCTCTCTCTCTGGTTTTAAGACAACTTTCTTAATCATGACATCGTCGTACATTCCTAGTTTGCTCCTATTTTCATTATGTAAATTTGTTTGACTGCACACTCATCAATAGGATTATGTAGGATTTATATGCAAGATCATGTACATTGTAGGACAGCTCGATCATGTAGATCAAGTCAACTAAAATATCAACCCGATCCAATCACTCTATCTAGTTGAGCAGATTTTGTTCAACTGATTTCCAAACAGAACAACATGCCATAAAGTTTCCAGCAACTCAAACTGCAAGTGAGCACACAAAGTGTAACTACAAGTCTCAACTATATGTATGAAAGCAAAAGGTAGCTTTCAGAGACGAGAGCATTGGGATTTTGCTATCATAATACTAAGTGAGAAAAGAATGCAAACTTCAGAAGGGACAGGCCACTTCAACACCATATTTCTTCAACGTGCATAGGACTCAGCTCACCGTTGATCAATCGAGGCAAAAGTTTTGAGGCCTTCATGCTCATTCTGAATGAGAACCAAATCCTGATTTTGTGAACCAATCATAAGACACTGCAAGGAATCTGTAAACAACAGCGTACAATCAACTGCTTTGTGTCACTTCTCAATTCTGAGGGCGCTGGACGATTCCATTCTCGGTCAAGTACTCCACGAATTCATCAATCAGATAGGGCCAAGCACCTTCTTCATCGTAGTTGGACAGTTGAAGATCAACAGTCTGAACAAAGGTCATAAACAAAAATGATTTTGTGCTACACCAAAAGCCTATAGATACATCCTAATTTCATCATCAGCATGCATATTTTTTACCCATACTAATATCATTGAACAAAATTAGTTGATTTATTTTTTCCATGAGGGCTACATTCTCTGCATGTTCTTCCTGCCTAGTGCAAGGATGCAGCTGGGGACATTATTGTTGCTCTGCAGTATCCTTTCCAATTGCGCATGGCAGGAAACAGATACAAGACAATTTGCTCTTTCACTGATAAGAAAGGGGGAAAGATCAATATGGTGTTCTAATAAAGAACTTCAAATCGGAAGACTTGCCATTTTCTGAAGTTATAGGAGCACCTTGTCAACAGCTAGTTCTATTGGCTAAAAAAAAGGTAACAATCAAGGTTGGTGGACTTCAACACATGTGACAAACAAATTTATTTGAAGACAAACTACAAGAAGAAAAAAACAAAACAAAAAAAAGCATCAATGCTATTCCTAACATTACTTTGTAACACGTCTCACTACCTGGGACAGAGCCCTTCCCAAGTAATAAAATAGTTACAAACTGGGGAACCTTAGACTTTTCTTTTGAAACACTCCCTTACTTTTTCTCATTACTTATTGGTCTCTCTCTCTCTCTCTCTCTCTCTCTCTCTCTCTCTGTGTGTGCAAAGAACCATGTCATGGGACTCAGAATCAATCTCGAATCATTTGGAATAATATCTTTGCTGGTAAAACTGCACATATTAATGCTCTCTAGACCCCACATTGATTGGCATAGTATTTTTAATAGGTGTCAGAGCGCTCGCCTAGGAGCGAGGTGAGGTAAGGCTTGAGTGCCTCACACAACCTCTAGGCGAGGCACTTCGATGAAGCACCACTTGGGTGCCTTGGGCAAGCGCTCAAGTTAAGAGGCAAGTTGGTACTAGGTGGGGTTAATGCTTGGTTCAATTGAACAAGCAAGTTGGTTCAATCAAACCAACTAAAGTGCCCTAACCCCCCCACCCCAATTGTCCGATGCAGCTTCGAAACCCTACATTCGCTACCGCAACTCCCTCCATTGCCATCGCCTTCGTTCGAAGCTTCCTTCGCCATCGTCACCTTCATTCGCAACTTCCTCCGTCGTTGCCGACTTCATCTGCAACTTCACCGCCTTCGTTCATATCTTCCTCCGCTGCCGCTGCCTTCGTCTACTGCTTCCTCCGTCGCCACCACCTTCATCCTTTGCTTCCTCGACTGCCCTCTCCCCCAACTTCCTGCATAGCTGTTGAATACTCCTCCTTCCTCCATATATATATATATTTATTTATTTATTTATTTATTTTGTAATGCCTCACTTTGCTTGGGCAAGTGCCTAGTGCCTCAGGCGTTATGAGATCTTGGTGCCTTGCACTTTTAAAATCACCAGGTTGGCACCTATTACATTAAGCCATCCTTTTTAAATCAACTTTGCTAATTACAATGTCACTAGAGATTTCGAATCCATTAAAGAAATATGTTGAAATCCTTGTCATGGTTGAATTTGTAATATCATGTTAAAAATCTAGTATTGAACCCCCACAATAGGTTATGCCACCCAAGATACGATATTGATTTGAGGGGTCACATCCATGAATTCTAGTAGTATCATTCAAAAATAATTTCTCATAAATGAGCAACACAATAAAGAATAACGTAAACAAAATGACAAAGCTTAACAAAAGAATTTTTGCATTAAGATTATTGGCTAAAGATGAGATGTAAATAGCATTAGGTTAGAAAATGGAATTCACAAATCAAGGGTCACTTTAAGGAGATGAAACTACTATGAAAACAATGGACATCAAATTCCTTGTTTTCCTCTGGCACCCTGAGAATATATTGCATAACCATTGCATTAGGTTTTGCCAAAGAGTGCTAGCTAGGCATGTGAAATAGTTTCTAAAGATAGTTCATAGGTTCACCAAAATGGTGCATTTGAAAGATTCTTTATGTACGTAATGTAGCAGATTTGTTTCCCTAGCATGCCTAGGCCACTTAAGTAGGGACATAAGTTTTTGAGTCATTCTTGGAGAATCTAAGGGTACTAAATGGTGAAAACTAGGATTCAATAGAGAAACAGGCCACTGTGCATGTTGCTATTTCTTATCTATTGGCATGGTCATCCCAATTTTAGAATGCAAGTTGATCAGTGAGAACAACATAGAGGAAAATCAGCACAGATCAACACATATCATGCCAGATAATTATTAGAACATGACATCCTAATTGTACTGCAGGTACTAGCACATGGCCGGACCAATTTTTATTATGTGTTGAATGATACATGAGCATGCCAACTGACAAAAGCATGTAATTGTACTATACCAAGAAGGTACTAGCACACCTTGCGCCAACAAATGTCAATCCTCGAGTATGCCTTTGCTCTAAGGCTTTTTCTTGTAGAGATGTATGAAAACCATCTTAAAGAGGGTGGGTTTGCCAAACACAACAGAATTGAAATGGATATTTAGTTGAGTTTGCTCCAAGACTGTCCGCATGAGATTTAACTTAATTGTATTCTAAGATTTAATCTTAGCTAGCTGAATGTTAGATAAGATATCTGATGCGTGTTCTAGCTTCTTGCTATTTTTGTCTCAATTTGCATGTTATAAAATTTCTTCTTGTGTGCTGTCCATTTCAAAATGATCACATCACTTACCTGGTCAGAAAATAAAAATTCCAGGATTTTCTATCCGAAAAGACTGATGGGCATCCAACTCATGAATCCTGAGGACTTCATAACTTGCAAACTAATACATACTTGGCAAAGGATGAAAATGCACAATGAAAATCCCAGGAACTTCTATCCAAAAAGACTGATGGGCATCCAACTCATGAATCCTGAGGAATTGATAACTTGCAGACTAATATAGACTTGGAAAAGGATGAAAATGCACAATTCAACTTAACATTAGAATCTAAGATACAATGAGGAACAAACATCAAATACAATCCTTAATAAGACAAAAAGCAATCCTAAAACAATTTAGGGCAGCCACCTATGTTGAACTATCACATATTGTATTAATTGACAATTAGATACTGTTATATAATTGTAACAAAACCATTTAATACTTAAATACATACCTTAGCAAATTCCAATAGCTGAGACCAGGTGTCTCTCGATATTGCTTTGTTATGCCTCACCTGATAATGACAAAATGGATTAGACATCACCTGTTGCACAGAATATTAGAGGCACAAGCCACGAACTAGACCTAAGTAATCAACTTCATTAAGGTGCTGCAAAAGCATGAAAAAGCAAACAACAAACTAAATCCATGTATCCCTCGGAGGGAATGAAACATCTATCATGCCATAATTGCATAAGTGTTCTCTAATGTTAAGAAAATTCATCCAAGAATGAAATGAAACCTGGTGAAATGGTAGCTGAAAAAACCTACCTGTAAGAACTGGCACCAATGGTCAACTAAAGGCCAGTGCCTTTCTGCAAACAACAACTGCCACATGCCAATAGCTGTATCAAGTGCTAGAGATTTTTGACCCTGCGATGATTGGAAAGAAAGCCACTTTCAATATTATCTTTAAAAATCTCAAAAATAAATAAATTATACCTTTGAGCATGAGGTAGGGAAGTAACTCATGTTTGTATTATTTAATAACAGGCGTTCCACATGAAGTATGAACAGGAGGAAAGAATAAAATGAACTGCAAATCCAAGCATAAACATAGTGTACTCATGTGTTGTTGCTTGGGAATGGGCAACAACTTGGATACAACAACCAAAATTCAAGGTCAATGTGAGCCTAAAGGTCTTGCAGCTATGATCAACCTCAACATTGCAAAGGATAATGCATGAGACATTGACCCAAGAGATACAGAGTTTT